GTTAACCATTTTTAAGTGGACAGTTCCGTAGCCTTAAGTACATTCATTTTGTTGGGCAACCATCACCACCATCCATCTCTAGAATCTCTTCATCTTGTAAAACTGAAACTGCGCACATTAACTGATAACTCCTCTTTCTTCTTTCCGCCCAGCCCCTGGCCACCACCTTCCCACTTTCTGATTCTGAATTTGACCACTCTAGGGACCTCCTATAAGTGGAATCTTACAGTACTTGTTGTTTTGTTTTTTGGCTTATTTCACTTAATATAATGTCCTCATGGTCCATCCATGCTATAGCCTGTGTCAGAATTTCCTTCCTTTTTAAGGCTGGGTAATATCCCATTGTATATAATACCCCACGTTTTGTTTATCCACTCATCCATTAATGGACACTTGGGTTGCTTCCATCCCTTGACTATTGTCAATAATGCCACTATGAACACGGGTGTTCAAATATTTCTTTAAGACTCTGCTTTCAATTTTTTTTGGATACATACTCAGCAGAATTGCCAGCTCTTTATTTTTTAAGATTATTTATTTATTTGAGAGAGAGAGAGCATGAGCGGCGGGGGGCGGGGCACAGGGAGAAGCAGACTCCCTGCTGAGCAGGAAACCAACACGGGGCTCTATCCCAGGACCCTAAGATGACCTGAGCCAAAAAGCAGCTGCTTAACTGACTGAGCCACCCAGACGCTCTTTGCCAGCTCTTTTTTGAGGACCTGTCACACTGTTTTCCATAGTGGCTGCACCATTTTACATTTCTACCAACCGTGCACAAGGGTTTCAATTTCTCCATATCTTCATCAACATTTGCTATTTTCTGGTTTTGTTTTGTTTTTTTTTTTTTACAGTAGCTATCCAAATGAGTGTGATTTTTGTGGTTTTGAGGTTTTCCCATTGTGGTTTTGATTTGCATTTCCCTAATAGTGATGTTGAGCATCTTTTCATGTACTTGTTAGCCATTTGTGGTGTTCTTTGGAGAAATGGTTGTTGGATTCCTTTGCCCATTTTTCAGTCAGTTTGTTACTTTTACAATTGTTAAGTTGTGAGAGTTCTTTATCCTGAATAAGAATCCCTTATTATAGAATCTGGGGATTTTTGTGATGGGACCTGTAACTCAGTATTTCTTTTTATTTTTTAAAGATTTTATTTATTTATTTGAAAGAGAGAGAATGAGAGAGAGAGAGCATGAGAGGGGGGAGGGTCAGAGGGAGAAGCAGACTCCCTGCGGAGCAGGGAGCCCGATGCGGGACTCGATCCCGGGACTCCAGGATCATGACCTGAGCCGAAGGCAGTCGCTTAACCAACTGAGCCACCCAGGCGCCCTGTAACTCAGTATTTCTATTTTATTATTTTATTCTTTCTTTCTTTCTTTCTTTCTTTATTTTCGTAGCCCGGTATTTTTTTAAGTTCCTCAGGTTGAAAAGAATTTTCTTAGGAGATGAGCTAATAAGTATGTTGAAGCTAGTTCTCATCAGGACAAATGGGTGCATCATCAGCTAGAACAGGTTGACATCTCCTCCTACCTGGGTACTGTATGTACTTATCCGTGCTGTTTAGGCATGGTAACCCTCCTTTCCCCAGGGTCACTGGGCTCACAGTTTCCTCCTTGCACAGAGAGAAATGAGTTCATATTTCTGCCTTATAAATAGAAGTAGAGGAATAAGAGATGAATCAAAATATCCATATATTTACACCTTCCTATTTGTAAAAATCATCAAAATTATACATATCTATTCTCATCACCTATCTAGTACATCTCCTACCTCTAGTACCTGTAGGGGAGTGTACCTTTTTGAAGATTTTATATTAACTTTCTACTTTTGAGTCATTTAGGGACTCACAGCTTTCCCCACACATTTCACTTAAGCACAATGATTGTTACAGATTTTAGGGTGCTCAAATCGGAACAGCTTTGAAAATGGTAGTCCGTTTAATTAGGATATTTGTCTTTGTAATACTACCCCTGACATCCTTGAAAATATCCTTGTTTTCTGGTATCAACAGGATGCTTGTACATTTTTCTTGTCTAAGAAATGGAATCAGCTGGGGCGCCTGGGTGGCTCAGACGTTAAGCGTCTGCCTTCGGCTCAGGTCATGATCCCAGGGTCCTGGGATCGAGCCCTGCGTCGGGCTCCCTGCTCAGCGGGAAGCCTGCTTCTCCCTCTCCCACTTCCCCTGCTTGTGTTCCTTCTCTCACTGTGTCTTTCTCTGTCAAATAAATAAAATCTTTAAAAAAAAAAAAGAAAAAGAAATGGAATGGAATCAGCTACCCTCCAAGGACTCCTGGCTATTTTATTTTTTTAAAAGATTTTATTTATTTATTTGAAAGAGAGAGAATGAGAGACAGAGAGCACGAGAGGGAAGAGGGTCAGAGGGAGAAGCAGACTCCCTGCTGAGCAGGGAGCCCGATGTGGGACTCGATCCCGGGACTCCAGGATCATGACCTGAGCTGAAGGCAGTCGCTTAACCAACTGAGCCACCCAGGCACCCCGGACTCCTGGTTATTTTAATGGTAAATAATATAAGACGCCAATATCTGGGCATTAGGGGTATACATGGTAGTTAGTGTGGGGGGGTACTGGACCTCACCTGGTAGTGACAGAGTTGGAAAGAATTTTGTTCAAGATACAAGTTTATATTTGATCTTTCTGATTTGACATAGCAGTGCTATGCCCCACCGTCCTGATCGTCTGTGGACCCCCTGGTCACACTGACAGTCCTTTGAGGCTGCCTTTACCAATATCCCCCCACCTTACAGCTGAACAAACAGACTGCAAGAAGTCAGGTAACTTGTCTAAAATCACACTGCAACCAAGTGCAGTGCTGCCCAGCTCTGTCAAATTTCAGCAACCGGGTCCCCACAAGGCCCTGCCTCAACCTCCACCTGCTGTCAGAAACACAGAACTCTGTCATTTGCAAAGATTCTCCACCAAGTTGCCCCATTTAAGATTCCCAAGGCAGGGTTTTCCTAGTCTTGGGTGGAGGGAGGAGAAAACACTACCCAGATTCTTCTTTTCCTCCTGCAGGATTCGGGAGTGAGAATGACCAGAAGAGCCCTCCACGAGAAAGGTCTGAAGACAGAGCCCCTCAGGAGGCTCCTTCCCAGAAGGGGCCTCCGGACAAACGCCCGGCCGGGTTCCGCGGTGCTGCCGGACACCAGAGCTCCCGGGGGAGGAAGCAAGGCCCCGAGGGCACCCAGGACGATCCCCCAGGGGAAGGGGAGGTGAGCTGGCTCCCCAGGCAAGGCGAGGCCCTTGGGTCTCTCTTGGCCGCCCCAAGATCCAGCCACCGACCCGTGCCGCGAGGGTGGAAAGAGCCTCCCAGCCCTACAGCTACCGCAGGCACTTCGGGCCCGAGCGGCCCTCGCCCGCCTCGAACCTAAGGTCACAGCACCCATCTTGCTCGCCACAGACCCCCGCACAGTGAGCGGGCCCACCGGCACCCCAAGTGTGCAAAGGGCTTGGGCACACCTCGGACCTCACCCAGCGCCTGAGGACGCTTCGCCGCCAGAGGCCCCGGCCGCACTGGAGTGCGGGGTGGGCGCCGGGACCGCAGCGGCCACCTCCTCCCGCACCAGCGCGCCCACCCCCGCGTCCGCCGGCCTCCAGCCTCCCGCGACGCCCGGCCGGCCAGCCCTGCG